AAGGCACATGACTGACAAAGCAACCTTGGGAGAAAGTAATTTCAGACCTTAGAACTGCTTTTCTCCATCTTTAAATTGAGAAACTGACATTTGGTTAACAGGCCCTGTGGAATCACAGTGAAAATTCCAATAGTAGTGTTGTCATAAAATCAGAACACCTTGACTATTTGAATAGAGGGTTAGGGCAGGTAGAGGCCCTTTTTTGGAAACTCAGTGTCTGAAAATACAGGCACCGTTAACAGAAGGGACTTGCCCCTGTGGTGCTGAAATTCCAAGTATGTGATCTGAGAAAAGTGTGTACAGATACTCCTAAACTTATGATAAGCCCATCACCAGGTGAAAATATCGTAAGTTGAAGTGCATTTATATACCTAACTTGCTGAACTTCCTCCTAGTGTAGCAACACACTTCAGCATAACATGGCAATGGTTTTCTAGTGCTCACAAGGCTCACTGGGAGCTGTGGCTTCCTGCAGCTGCCCAGCATCACGTGAGACAGGCATATTGCACATTGCCAGTCCAGAAAGACAAAAATTCAACATTTGAAGTCTTATTTCTACTGAATGCATATAACATTGACATTATCATAAAGAAAAAAATCACAAGTTGAGATGTTGTCACAAACCATCTGTGCAAAGAAATTAGTTAATATAAATTATTTTTAAGTGAGTGGCTTGTCATTGGCAAGCTATTTAGAATGCCATCTTGTTTTTCTTGGGCATAGGTATAAAGGTTTTCAAAGATAGACTTAGGAATGGAGTCTTTAATTTTCTTATAAGGTCTTGGAGTTCTCAACTAGGAATTCTGTAGTAAGAATTTTGAGACTAAGGATAGAATATAGTTTTGTACTACAAACATGAGTTAGAACCCCAAATGAAATTCGTGTTTGTGATCATCCATAGGATCTGGGCTTAAGGCTTGATTTTTCAAATGGTAAATTTTGCATATGTTTATGAAAAGGGGTTTTTTTCAGCCCTTAAAGTATTTAAATATCAAAGTTCATAAGCTAACTATAAACTATTTTAAATAGTAACACAGGTCTTATAACAATACTTAGAAGAATTTTATAAATATTGTTTATGACAGCTAGAAATTAAAGTCTTGGGCAGGTATTGTGGTACACCAAGTTCAGCTGCTACTTGGGCCACCCACATCCTGTATTGAAGGATTGATTACTTGCTTGATTACTGGCTACCCTGTTTTCAATCCAGCTTCCTGTTAACGCTGATGGAAAAGGGAAAGGAAGTTACTCCAAATATCTGGGTCCCTCAGGTGGAAACAGGATGAAATTCCTGGCTCCTGGCTTTGACCTGGCCCTTGTGGCTGTTTGGGGCAAGAGCCAGTGGATGGAAGAGCTCTGTTTCTTTCTTTTGCTGTCATTCTGCCTTTCAAATAAATATTTTTTTAGAAGTCTGAAATGACAACTCAATCCTTTTAAACTTAACACTGCTTAAATCATGTTAGAGGAATGGAGCTTATCTATAGCTTAAGTGAATCATGTATTGATTTATGCTCATCCTAGAGACTTTTCCCCTACTACCCCAATTAGCAGCCAAGGGCAGCAAAGTATCTTCCATATATCCCACCTTTTCCTGAGTAAGCAGGAGGTAGCTGAGATACTCCTATGGTTTCTATCCCATACTTCCACATTCATTCCTCTTCTTCCAGTCTGGGTTGTCCCTTTCCTTCCCCTTCCCTTTTCTCTTTCCTTGTTTTCCTAGAGAGTGCATATTCATCTACTGGCAGAAATGCCTGCAGCGACTGGGGCTAGAACCAGGAAACAGGAATGCAGTCTAGGTCTTCCATGTGGGTGGCACAGACCCTGCTATTTGGGCTGCCTCCACATGTCTGCTTGGCCGGAAGCTGGAGCCAGAGTGGAGGATTGAATGCAGGCGTTCTGATGTGGGATTCAGGTTTCCTAATCAAAGAAGGCCAAGGACCTTCTTTTAGGCTGATGTTTTAACCAAAGGCAGAGGAAAGTTTGGGCATCCTTTAGTCTTGTTATTGCTGAGAGCTGTTCTGAAGCTGCTGCCGGTGTATCTTAAATATGCAGGTCAGTCTCAGTTTGTAGTAAAGGTTTGCTCTTAATTGTTTCTACATTTCATTGTGATTTCACACAGATTTTCTCAATCAGAATTGTAAACCAGTAGGATTTTGGTCTAAAATCTAAGATGTTGCTACATCAAATCATTAAAAGTAAACACTAAAAGACAAAAGGAGGTCTTTTCTACTTGGACATAACTCTGTGAGGACAAAATGAACAGCAGTTTAGACATGAACTGCTTAGCAAACATCTTGGCAAGTTACAAGGTACCATCTGCTGGTGTTAATTATCCAGTTTGGGACCTCTAGTGGCTTTTGACCTTCTTTTATCTTGTCATAGTCCACTTGTGCTGCTCTAACAAAATATTCAAGACTGGGTAATTTATAAGAGCAGAAGTTTATGTTTTCACTGTTCTGTGGGCTAGAAAATCCAATATCCAGATGCCAGCAGGTTGGCTGTGTGGTGAGGGCCCAGTCTCTGCTTCCAAGATGGTGTTTTGAATGCTGTTTGCTCCTGGACTGGGCTGGGGTAAAGGGCAGGGTGGAGTGAGGAAAATACAAGCTCTTTACCTTCTGGACAGAGAGGCCTAACTAATTCCCTCCAGCCTTTTTATAAGGTTATTGATCACCTCTTAAATGCCCAACACCTTGATATGATGCACTGAGGATTTAAACTTTTTATGTAAGTTTGCTTATCTGAAAGTCAGTTACAGAGAAAGAGATTAGTTCACTCTCTAAATCTCTAAATGTTTGCCAGCCAAAACGCAGAACTAAGAGCTTCATCTAGTCTCCTACCTGGGTGCAGGGACCCCAAGGACTTGGGTCATCTTCTGCTTTCCCAGAAACACTAACAGGGAGCTAGATAGGAATTAGTGCATCCGGGACATGACCCAGCACCTGTATGGGATGCCAGTGTTGCAGGCACAGCTTAACCTGCTACAACATGGCAAGGTCCCAGGATTTAAGCTTTGGAAGGGGCACAAACATTCAAAATACAACAAGACTACTTTTATTTCTCTCTGTTTCAGTTTTCTGTCATTATCATTATTATTATTATTTCTCTTGGATTAAATTTAAACTCAAAGGCAAAACTGCAAACTGCTTTTACAAATGTGTTAAATGTGGAGACATTTGTCTTTCATTCCTCCTTGTGGACACTTGGAGGACGTAATCTGATTTATTTTGGTTTCAGGGAACTTCACTTTTTCCTGCTCCCATGACTGTGTAACCGGAAACGAGTTCTAAATGATGATGAGACAGAAAAGCAGAGGGAAGGATAGGCCTCTAAAAAGTCCCGAAATCACTTTCTGTTTTGGGGAAAGCTTGAGCTCCAGAGACAGTCTCTGAGCTTCCTTGTCTTCTTAATGTGCTGTCCAAGGCAGATGCTCTAAGCCTTTTGTCTCATCAAGCTTCTTCTGTACATTTTAAAGGTGACATTGTTCTCTGCCCTCAAGAAAACACTGGACCTGAACCACTTCCATTTCCTTTTATCTTTACCCTTTTACCCTGCTTCTTGTATGCTGGGGGTGGGAGGGAAATTCACTCTCTCAGTCTCTTTAACAGTGCTGCCAACCTCCAGGACTGTGTTCTAACATTGTCCTCATTCTCTGCTGTGTTTTATGTCCTGGCCTCTTCTGTTCACCAGTGCTTGCTTTCCCATCCTCAATTCTGCTCCTGTCTGAAGCATGGTGTTTGGTTGTAGCAATCTGGGTCATGGTCTCTACTTGCCCAGTTCCCAGTCTTTCCATGTCTAGTTTCATTCTCACTTCTATCCCACCCCTTCTCAGGAACTACTCTCCAGTAAGTCTCTGGTGGCGTCCAATGATCAATTCCAGGGTCATGCTTCCCCCTTTGTCTGCCGTTTCTGCAGTATCAGTTATTCTTAACCCATGACTCATAGGAGAATAGACTGAGTTCAGGTGTGTACACTTGAGACTGTGAGGCTGCTCTTGTATTGGTATATAATTTCCAAAGAAAGCAGACTAATTGATCACTCTGAATAACTCAATATCCAGCTCAGTTAATAGTGGTTTCTAGTGTCATGGTCTAAACTCAGGTTAGTATAATGACTCTCAGAGAGAAAGTCTGTGTTTTTCCACTGCCTCCCAACCTTTTAAAATCAAAACAATGTAATAAAACTGGTTTTAAAAACTGTTCCTGCTAAGTCATTGTACTTAGCTTGCTCACTTTTCTTCTTTTCCCAAGTTAGTTCTTAATAGCCTTCAGTTTTGAACATCCTCGTGACAAAGATCTACTTCTATGATAATGAAATTATTTCACCAAGATGTGAGGCAACATCCACAGCCTCTATCAGGCACGGTACACAGGGGACACTGAGTCCGTATCTGTTGACTGAATGAATTGTGTAAGAAGCCTGCGACATCACATCTGTTTCCAATCAAAGAGCTGGCTATAGGTCCCGTTTTGTATCCCTGTTGGTTGGCTTGAAAGGCCAATTATAAGCTTTCACATTTTGCAGAGTAATTATTCTATTCATGTATTTCCTAAAGGGAGAAAAAACAATATGAGACATTTAAAAGGCTGGCTTTATTCATGTTGCCCCTTGTAACAGGGAAAACATCAATTTCACCTTTCTGAATTAAAACTCACAGATTTAAATGGTTGACTCTGCAGTATTTCTGCAGATGAGTGTGTTTGCTTCTGGTTTACACAGAGCACTGATACAGTAGAGAGTAGGCCTTCTGTGTGCATCTGTTTTGAGAATGTACTCTGTGTTGTGCCCCTGGTTTGTAGAGGTACAGAATTTCTATTGGAATCCTGTGTGAATGTCAGAGAGTGCTAGAGACCCGTCTTGACCCTGCTCCTTAGTCTCATCTCTCAGCGCTGTTTTTGAGTCATTGTTATGCATTTAAATTGTCAGTGCCATTGGAAATGACTGTGTAATTCTGTTTCTGCTGGTGCCCATAACTAATTGTGCTTTTCTGGCCTTGTTCACAGAGGGACCTGTCAGGGCACAAGAACATTGTGGGCTACATTGATTCTAGTATCAACAATGTGAGTAGCGGTGATGTCTGGGAAGTTCTCATTCTGATGGACTTCTGTAGAGGTATGTACCTGAATCCTACCTGTCAGCACCTTCCCCTCACACATCCATTTCAGGGACAGGGGGATCCTTTCACTGTACCCTGAAGCATGTTGTGCTGTTTTTACAGGTGGGGAACTAAGAGGTTGAAAGACACAAAGCTTTTGTCAGTTCTTGGTTATTCTTATCATGCAAGGAATAGTGGTACAAACTTTTATAAGTGATGAATAAAAAAAACCTCTAGTCTTGTTAAGTTCAACAAGGTTTGGTGTGGGTATACAAATGAGAACTATAGAAACGAATGTGTTCTCTGTGATGGTTTTAAATAAATGAGGAAGGCACCAAGACCCACCTCCAAGATGAGCTAGAGGAAGAGCTCAGCTTCCTCGGTCCCTCTTTCAGTATTCTCTTCCTCATTCACACCACCATCCTTGTGTTAAGGAGATAAAAATATCCTTTCTGTGTGTAATGGAAATGACTGCCCCCTTGGTCTAGAGCCATAATTCCTGGTAGGGCTTCCTTCAAGCAATGCTGCTGTTAACAATGGAGTTAAGTAGTTCTACTCATGAAACCTCAGACGTTTATCTTGAAAACCCAGAGTGTTGCATGAAATTTTTTAGTGTTGACTGTACTTTGTCCAACCATTGTTTGAAGGTGTGATTTTTAGGGGCTAGAGCATTTGCCACCTACAAATTTAATGTTTAGTGTCGACTTCTGTGATCACCCATAGTTCTAACATTTTCCCTGCCCTTAAAAATACTGCTCATAAGTGGAAAATGTTGCTAATCCCAAAATTGTCATGTTAACCAGTAATTTCGGCTTTCACTATCTTAACTATTAATGTGATTTTATAAAATGCTGTCATATTTGAAATTGGCAAGTTATTTCCTGCTGCCTGTTCCTATCTGGACAGTAACCTGTGCAGAGGTCAAGCAGCAGGGTTATCAAGGTGTCTGCCTGATTTTGTAAGTAAGGTCCTCAGTTTTTTTTGGTCTCATAGATAAAATGTTGGTGCAGCATTTCCACAGGCCAAGTCACAAACATTTCCACAGACCAAGTCACAAATAGCCAGAGAGACCAAGCTGTTCATTAGCACAGACAATGAACCTGTCTTATCCTGCTGTCTGGGCTCATCGTGCCATCTGATTCTTACTAAAAGATATGGCAAGTTGAGACTGTGGCCTTGTCTTATACGCATGAGGGCAGTGTGGTCAGGCAGCCACAGCACAACGACTTCTCCAGTTGTGCTACTAATCTTGAAGATAAAATGAGAGCGGCTCATGTCTGAGCACTTACACAACAAGGAAACTAGATGTATGCAAGAGGAGGAACTGGTTGAAGAAAACAAACCCCAAGGTAGAGTTGAAGGTCCCTGGGTTTTAGTCTGGCCCTGCCAGTGCCTTAGTCTAGGCAGCTCCTCTTTGACAGCCTCTTCCTGTTCCGGGCTCAGTGACATGGCCAAGTGTTAATTGACTCTTCTTTGCTCTGCACCCATCTCAGGAGGCCAGGTTGTGAACCTGATGAACCAGCGTCTACAAACTGGTTTTACAGAGAATGAAGTGCTCCAGATATTTTGTGATACCTGTGAAGCTGTTGCCCGCCTGCATCAATGCAAAACTCCCATCATCCACCGCGACCTGAAGGTAGGAGGTCTCAGGGTTTCATTCAACACATAGTGTTTTCTGTCTTGTTCCAGGATGGATAGTCACTGTGAGGATATAGGAGAAGTTTAAGTCATGGACCCTAATATTAAGCTTGTGTTCTGCCTGGGAAGAGAAAATACAAAGAAAGAGATGTAGTATAGTGATCAATTTTATAATTTAAATAGTCTCCAGAAATTCTTTATGATTATCAAAATATACTGGAGCCTATGTTTTGTTTTTCCTGTTGTAACTCCCAAATTCACTTATGTGATGGTCATGAAAAGAAACATGTTAATTTAAATTAATTGTAAACAGTGATGCTTGGTTTCTCAAGTCTATTTCTTGGCTTGCAAAGTCCATCAATTGATTATTTTCAAAATTTATCCTACTAATTGGCATTGGATTACACTATGCCTTTCATAGTGTAGTTACTTGACAGTGTTTGTTGAATGGAATTGGCAGCTTGCCGAAGTTTTAGCCTAGTGTTTACCAAACACCAACTATGTGCCGTGAACTTTGCCACATGTTCACTGTTTTGGGAGGAAGAAGTTTTTCATCATGTTTAATAGTTGAGAAGACTAAGGGGCAGAGAAATTATGTGACTTGTCCAAGATCATGTAAATAGGAAGGACCAGAACCAAAGTTTGAATAAATCATCCTCTCAAACTCTAAATTATTGCTTCCTTTCATTACACCTGTGCTTCATGATAACATGCCCCATGACTAATAATCTGTATCAGCAATGCACTCCTTTCCTCCCTGCCACCGTGTGCTTGTTAAACACAGCTTGCCAGGTTCTGCACTGAAGCTTTGGAGCTAGAATTTAGGGGGTAATGGTAGAAAACCTAGGAATTCATATCTTTATAAGTGTGCAACCTGGTTTTTTGTATACTGTGAAGTTTGAGGATCACAGCAGCAAACTTGGGTTTCTTAAGCCCTTAAAAATGTTGATATATGGGCCCGGCATGGAAGCCTAGTGGCTAAAGTCCTTGCCTTGCATGTGCCAGGATACCATATGGGCGCTGGCCTGTTTCTCTGGGGCCTCACTGTCCATCCAGTTCCCTGCTAGTAGCCTGGGAAGGCAGTAAAGGACAGCAAAAAGCCTTCAGATCCTGCACCCACATGGGAAACTAGGAAGAGGCTACTGGCCCCTGGCTTCAGATTGGCTCAGCTCTGGCCATTGCAACCACTTGAATTAGCGGATGGAACATCTTCCTTTCTGTCTCTCCTCCTCTGTGTCTCTGACTATCCAATAAAAATAAATAAATCTTCAAAAATTGATATATAATCCACAAGTTATAAAATGCATCCTTTTATACAAGTGTATAACTTGGTAGTTTTCAGTACATTTGCAAAAGCTGTGCAGCTATAACCAGTATCTTTTTCCAGAAAGTTTCATCAGTAGCCACACCCCACCACCACCAAAAGAAAGCTTGTGTCCATTACAATTCACGAGTCACTGAAGCCACAGCACTGTGAATAGGAGCGAGCAGGGCAGGGGGCAAGCCTGGGTCAGCCCACCGCAGACATTGGTGAGCCTAGTGTGAGTCTGCTGGTTCACCGACAGAACTGAGAAAAGCTCCCGCAGCCCTGCCGGCCTCGTGTGGGCTTTCTTTTCCACTGCAGATAGGAAATAGCTAAAGGCAGTGCCTGTCCTTAAGCTGCTGTGTTCCAAAAATAGCAGAAGTGCTGTTCTATATTGAAGGCCTCTCTTCAGATACATTATTGTAACCCTTTGTTTCCTCCAGTTCTGATTTTGTCTCTTTCAGAATAAAGATCCTAATAGCTGTTCCTATATCTTAGAGCTGGGCAGTGCACATAGGCCAGCCCACTGCTTTGGCAGCGAGGAAATGTTAGCAGGACAAGGCTGTGACCTCATAGCTAGTTAGAATCAGAACAGCAGTTGAAGTTTTTTGTTTCCAATCCTGTCTTCAGTTCTTACCAAATTTGCTTTGATATTTTCTTTTACTTTATATTTTCTATAGTATTATTTTTTCTAAGCACTTAAGAAAGGAAAAGAAAGGGTTAAGTTTCAACATTCAGGTTGAAAAGTCAGAGGTCTCCTTTTTTCCTTTTTTTTTTTTAAGAAAAGAGGTTTTGATCTCATGAAAGTACAACAGGGTAAAAGATTCTTACCCCATTTTTAGAAATATGGGTTTGAAAACCCACATGTATCTAATCCTCCAATCCTCCAAGCTTCTCAGTGGTAGTAAACTTTCTGACTGACATGTCCTACCTGTTTGCAAGAGATCAGTAGGAGGTGGCTTTCCAGAGCCTTTAGCTAGAGCCAGAAGCACGGCTTAGAGTGATGACTTGCATATCCCCCTTAAGCTGATAGGTTAGTGTTAGTCAGTGTCATTGAACTCTCAAGTAACTGAACAATTTGAGGATTGTAAACAGTGGTAATCAATGTTGAGCTTCACCCTGAGATACTTTGCCAAAACCATAGTTGCTGTGTAAATTCTCTGAAGTTCTCAGAAGATGATATATGAATATCCAGTTGGCTGTCAATCTTCCAAATTTCATTTCTTCACTGCCCACCATCCTTCCACCTACCTCTTTCCATCACTGTTGACCTTAGCTTAGCTTCACCCTGGTCACCTCCCACATGGACCATTGTACCTGCCCTTATGCTCTTCCCTCTCCTTTGCTCCTTAGAGCAAGTTGATTTTCCTAGACACAAGCCAGTGCCCACATGGGATCTCGGCACGTGCAAGGCGAAGACTGTAGTCACTAGGCTATTGTGCCGGGCCTGAGCAGCTGTAATTTGCAGAAGAGATTCAAACTAGAAGAGGCAGGAAAAGTTGTACAAGGTCCAATACCTCAAATAAACTGATGTCTTCTTCCCTTCCCACCTTTCAAGCCAGTGTTGTTGCTACCCACCCTGCTCTCTTGTTGGGGCATTGACAGCAGCCAGTTTGGCCATAAAGATTTTCAAAGCCACTATACGTCATAGGGAAAAACCAAGAGCCAGTAGCAAATATGGCAAAGCGATTTCATAATCTCATTTGATTCTCCCCACAAGTTTGCATAGTAGGCCAGAGCAGGGATTACTGTTCTTATCAGCCCAACAGTGGACCCCATCTATATTCTATGCTTTGTTTGCCTAATCCTCCCTTCCACCAACAGTGATTGTCATCCCTAAAACTTCCTAGCTGGTGTTCCAATGTAAACTATATTCTAGCATTGCAAGTGTAGATACTGACTTGGAAAGGAAATATACACATACAGTAAACTCCTGGTTTCACAGGAGCCCTGGAAGGCTCATGAGACCGGGGAAGAAAATAATTGCTGAATGATATTGAATATGTGATTCCATCACCCACTTTTGAGGGTCATTAGTGTGTTTTGTGCTGAACCAGGGGTTGTTGGGAATACATAGGCATGATGCAATGTACTCTCCTCAGGGATCTTTTTTTTTAAAAAAAAGATTATTTTTATTGGAAAGTCGCAGAGACAGAGAGGAAGATCTTCTGTCCATTGATTCATGAGCTGCACTGATCTGAAGCCAGGAACCAGGAGCCTCTTCGGGTCTCCCATGCGGGTGCAGGGTCCCAAGACTTTGGGCCATCCTTGACTGCTTTTCCAGGCCACAAGCAGGAAGCTGGATGGGAAGTGGGGCCACTGGGATTAGAACCGGCACCCATGTGAAATCCGGGCATGTGCAAGGCAAGAACTTTAGCTGCTGGGCTGCTGTGCTGGGCCCTCCTCAGAGATCTTTTAATGAGACTTATATAATATGTGAGAGGGCTAATGCTGGTGCATAGTTAAAAAAAAAAAAGTTGGTGTAGTTTTTCTACACATGGCCAGAGTAACCATTTCAGACATGTCAGCTGTACAATCTCTATTGTGCTTGCTCAGTTCTGCAGTATGATCTGTGAACTGTGGCTTGCAGGCCTTGATGACTCCCTTCCTATTGACAGTAAATTATGTGGATTTTTGTTGTACAATCACAGAAGGTTTAGCTGACTTGAGCAAGGTCTTTAAAAATGCTAGCTTGAAATTGACTAGTGGAGAGTGACCAGCTGAGTAAAAAGGTGAGTTATAAAATCCAGGGGATTTGGGGGAGACATTGAACAAATCAACCTAGCTAGATACCTGATTTTTTATTAAGTGGATTTGTGTTATAAATGCATTTCTAAACAGAGAGGACTAAAGAAACCCTGTTCTAAGTTACTTGTGGCTAGAACATTGGGCAAGTACAAAGTGATTGTTACCATTGGTGGTTCAAGGTAGGAACCTTCTACTGGCCTTGCAGAAATTTAATGGGCTGGCCTTTTCTAGCTTCAGGTTTACTTCCTGGCACTACTTACTAACTGTGTGACTTTTGCCAGGTAACTCACTCAAGGTCTGTTTCTCCATGTGTAATCGCATCCCCATTCCTTCAGGGATGTGGGTAATCACCTTGTTAGTATGAGGATTTAGTGAGAAAATCCATGTAGTAATAATACTAGCAATAATATACGTCCAATAAATGATGGCTCCTGTCTCTATAACCTCTGAATTAGACGGAAAAATCAGTGTTGCTTTGTTGGGATTATTTTCGATTCTTAGTGACTGTATAAAGATAGCTTGGCTATTCTACTTTATGTAAATAGATTAAATTAGTTAGCTTAATAAAACAAAAAAGTGTCGATGGTGGAAATATTTGCCTGACTCAGCTTTATCTCAAGGAAACAAATCTGTCCTAATCATTTTTATTTCACGATACTATGATTAACAAGAACCTGTCTGTGTAGGTCAGTAGCCATAGTTTCTACTATATGTGTGGATGATAATCCAAGGTGAAAAATTTGTAGTGATTCCAGGTTAGTGTTATGATGGGTATACCAGCCTGTCCCCTCTGGAAGAACAAGAGATTCAGACCAATCTCAAAGACTTCCTGCAGGTTATGATCTAGGGAATACAAGATAACGACAGCAAAACTTTCTTGCAACAACAAAGACTTCAAACCTCGGAATTAACAGATACAGACTATAAAATGTACTATATATATGTTAGTAACATGTAGAAGCAGTATTGAACATGTAGAAACAAAAAGCTCTGGTAACTGGTGAGATATTTTTAGAAGAACCAGTAGTTGGAGGAGGAAGACCTGGGTATGTTTGGTGGCTGCTGTCTTTTTTGACAGAGCAGTATGTGTATGGAAAGAAGAGAGAGGTTTTTGATCATTGGATCAAGAGGTGGTAGCCATGGAAAGCTTCTTAGGCTGGAAGAAGGCAGGAGCAAAGCTCCAAGGCTTCTGAGTGTGAGGACTGTGCAGAGTTGAGGGTACAGCTGGCAACCTACAGAAACAGGCTCTAACTCAACACTCTGGAGTTTCCTTCTTTTGCCCTGTCTGCCCTAATTTTGCTCTGTTACAATGCATTTCCTTTTTGCTCTGTGTGGGATGACCCCTGTTGAGATCCTCAGAGAATAGCTTTTCTGTGCAAGTTCATGAGAGTACCAAAAAATAAAGCAGGTTTGTTTACCTGACAATAAAGCCAAATTTTCACATGCATTGGCAAATATTATGTTGGAATGGGTGACTGGCCAATGTCTTTCAGGTTGAAAATATCCTCTTGCATGACCGAGGCCACTATGTCCTGTGTGACTTTGGAAGCGCCACCAACAAATTCCAGAATCCACAAACTGAGGGAGTCAATGCAGTAGAAGATGAAATTAAAAAGTAAGCCTTTTCTCCTTTCTTATAGTTCCTTCCATTATCAGTGAGCAAGTTCAGCATCAGCTTTGGGTAGTGCTAGCCAATTTTCCTCTTCTCGCTGGGGTTGTTTGATTCTAAGTGAAAGAAGAAGGGGCCTCACAAGTATTGATGAGGAGAGTAAAAGGAAAGCTTGTTTAGAACACTCCATCAATGTTCCTGTGGTCGTTGCACATAGCTAGTTTGACTGACAGTGTCATGTAACCTGCAAGGATGTGAGTGATGCACACACCATAAAAGAACTGTCATATTTTAATTACAATAACCATGATACAATCCGTCAGACAGATGTGCCTTTTACTGAACTTTAAGTTGCTGTTTTCTTCCTGCAACCTAGTGAAATGAAGGTGGGTAGGTTATTTAAGTCCCTACAGATGCTGAGTCATCAGCATCTATGAAGAAGAAGCTCCTTTAGATTTGTGGGTCTTGTAAGAACCTGACTCTCCTTTCCTGTACAGTGTTGGAGTCTGCACAGACAACAATGGTGTTGCTACTACGAAATCATCAGGCTAGCCAATGCACTTATACCCTGATCTTTCTGTCCCACTGCCCATCACCTATCACACAGGCAACAAGCCTGAAGTGAGACTTCAGACTTAGGGCCTTGATAAACACTTAAACCAGTTCTGTCTGGGATCTAAAGTAGCACAATCATATGTTGGTAATGCTGAAATGCTCACTTGAGAATGTACTTATACTACTCTTAAGGTACAAAACCACTTAGAAATTGTTGTTTTGGCTCCATTCCAGGAGCAATGAATGGGGACTCTTGATCCCATCTGCTCCCAACTCCAGCCAGAGTCCACTTTCTACTATTTAATTTCCTAGCCAGAGTTGGGTCTCTGTGTTGAGTCCGTGGGTTTACCATTTTTAAAAGTAAATCAGCAAATACAACTTCAGGCAACAAGGATTTGTAGAAGATAGTAGTGTCACTTGAACATCCAAGGAAAGTGGCTTTTAAGGATTTATTCAGTGCATCAGAAGGTGTGATGATAGGCTGGCCACAGTGTAGGGATACAATTTTACCACGGACAGTTTTTTATTTTATCTTCACTGATCTTTTTATACTTTCCTCCATAGATAACCACAGAAAAATTGAATTCTATATATGTTTTAGAAATTAAATTTACTACTGCTTCTGGTTTTTTATTATAGCATTGACATATTTAACAAAACCTGAATCTCTTGGTCGTAGATACACAACACTGTCCTATCGAGCACCAGAAATGGTCAACCTGTACAGTGGCAAAATCATCACCACGAAGGCAGACATTTGGGTAGGTGTCAACTACCCTGTCCACACCCCAGATGTTGGCAGTCTTGATTATAGATTCCCAAGTTCAATGCAGACAGTGCAATAGTGTGACAGCACCTGTAGCATATCATGGTCTGCCTGTCCTTGGGTTGTTCCTGATGTGAAGGGACCAACTTACTGCTTCTTAGGGCAAAGGAAGTTGCACCAGAGCTCTGTTAAAGTTATTCAGGTATTTTTTCATATCTAATACTACTAGCTTTTAAGAGCAAACCATGAGAGATACTTGTTCTATGCTAGAACCTGGGTTGATGTTGATGACAGTAATAATGGAAGTCGCCTGCTAAGTCATGAAGTTGGGCTCTAAATTTAAGTTTTTGGTAGATTGAAAGTAAACAGTTTTTACATATGTTGGTGAGGTGGATGGTGCCAGTATCTATTATTAGAGCCATTTGCAATTATAGTAAATAAGCTGTTAGTAGTAATCTGTTTTTAAAATTTTTTTTAGGCTCTTGGATGTTTGTTGTATAAATTATGCTACTTCACTTTGCCATTTGGGGAGAGTCAGGTGGCCATTTGTGATGGAAACTTCACAATTCCTGATAATTCTCGATATTCTCAAGACATGCACTGCCTAATTAGTAAGTATTCAAGTTTCTAGTTTCATGTTTTATATCTAATCAGTAGAAATGAATTGGAGGATAAAGAGGTTAAGTTCTAGGAGCAATGGGTTAGATTCAGAGATTAAAAAAATTAGTTGACGATGTTGGGAGCTCAAGGATAAGGTCTAGTTAGAATGATGGGTCTTTTTGTTAGAAGTCTATACTCTATTTCCTACCTAAGCCAGCTGCCCAGAGATCCTAATTGTACTTTGAGCAGTGTTCTGTGTGAAAGCTCTGATACCAAAGGAAACCTGCTGACTCATAGCAAGTGGTAAGAAATTCATCTTTGTAAAACTGGAAGCAATTCAAATGAACATAATTGCAGTGCATCGGCTGGAGTGAATGTATCATCAAGACTGTATAACTCCATGGAACTTGCTTTTTCTTCTCATTTAGGTTAATCATTGGATTGTGATGACAAACATCTAAACTCAGTGCTTTGTTTGAAACAGTCTTAGATTCTCCCACTCTTTCATATCCTCACAGCAAGCATATGCACTAATCATCATTGACCAGATGGTAGAATGATCTTCACAAAACCCCTTATATTAAAATGCTAAAGAAAGATGGATCTGATCTTCCACATTGGTCAGGACATTTAGCAACAAGGTTTTAACTATTACAGATTTTTAAAGAAGATTTATTTACTTATTTTGAAATTAAGGGAGAGAGAGTTGGATTGTCCATCTATTAGTTCACTTCTCAAATGGCTGCAATGATAGGGGCCGAGGCAGGCCAAAGCTAGAGCCCAGAATTTCTTTTTCCTTTCTTTCTTTTTTTTTTTTTAATTAATTGCATTGCATTATGTGACACAGTGTTATGGGCACTGGGATTCCCTCCACCCCTCCTCGAACCCTCTCCCCATGGTGGATTTCTCCACCTTGCTGTGTTACCACAGTTCAAATTCAGTTGAGGTTCTTTCATTGGAAGTATTTACCAAGCATAAAGTCCAGTGTCTTGTTATCCTAGTGGGTTCAACGATTTCTTGGTGAGACCATTTCTGGTCTGAAGGTAAAGCCAGCAAATTATCATCCCAATCAATTAAAAGCCCGAACATAACATCAACAGCCATTTACAACCTTATGGCATTAATTGACATGGTATTGGTTAATAGTATGTTAACAGGAAAATGTGGTTTCTTAACTACATCCTGTGACGTCTTCATAGATATTTCAATTTTTGGTTTATATTCAGCCTGATTCTATATAGTTATCAGTTTAGGTACAGTACATTTTTTTTAGGATGGGTGTGCAGAGAAATCCCCAATACCCCAGTGAGGCGTAACTAATCTTTGTGTCCCACCTAGTGAGGCATGTTTGGATCCACGCTGTAGAGCCCGGAATTTCATCCAGGTTCCCCCTATAGGAGGCAAGGAAACAAATGCTTGGGCCTTCTTCCAAAGTTTTCTCAGGCACTTTAGCAGGAAGGTGAATCAGAAGTGGAGTGGCTAGGACTTGTACCAGTGCTCATATGGATGTCAGCATCGAAGCTGCCACTTACACTGGCCTCTCATTTAATTCTTAAAGCCTTTTATATTCTAAGCATAATTATCCCAGTTATGCAAATGGGGAATCTGAAGCTGAGAAGGTGTAGGTAACTAACCCAAATTAAGATACAGTTTATAAGTGGCTAGCCATTCCATTGTACCGATTTTATTTATCAGTTTCTTCCATTCATTAACCAAAAAAAGGGAAGAATATTTAAAGAAATGAATTATGGCATTTAATGATCATTGGGTTGTTTTCAGAGGTAAAGCGTTCTGTCCATTTTAGAGTTGCAGCTATATAAACAAAATTGGGAAAAATTGCCAAATTGACACTAGACTAGTGGGATTTTTATTGGTAATAATTTTAATTCCTTTTAAAAATTTATTCAGTAAATTTGTAGTAGGAAGATAGTTCCTTATGACTTTTTATTTGCCATTGACCTCTTTCCCATACACCATTCCAGTGTGCAAATTATTTGGATCTCACTGTTACCCTAAACTCACAGATCTGAAATTTAGTTTATGACTATTGTCCCTCCCTCCCTTTTTTTTTCTCCCCAGTATAAGGTTGCCCTGTTTTCAGTTTCTCTAAGTGATATGAGCTATCAAAACATGAATGATATTTAAGATTTTCTTTGGATCTGGTTATCAAGAGGAGAGGAGAAATCAGTTATTTTTCTTCTTTTTTCCTTGAGTTTCTCTTTATTTTATTCTCTCTGTTCTCAACTCTGTCTCAATAATATAGACAGACTGTCTACTCATGCCTGCATTGGTGGATTGACCACCAGCTGCTCTCCTCTCTTCAGTCAGTGCAACCCATCCTTACCACAAGCTTCATCTTATGAAATATCACCCTCTTCAGTAAAATGTCGTTGTTCAGAAAACTTGAGCAGCTTGCTAGTGATCCCACAGCCTGGCATTTAAGAGCCTCCTTTCATGTCTGCTTGCATCCTACCCACCCAGCCTTCTCTCCACCCCATCCTTCTGGCTTCCCTGTTTCCTAACAGCAGGGCATTTGCCTGTCTTTTGCCAACTCATGCTTTGCTTAGGCCGCTGTCTCACCTGGAGTGACTTTTTTCCGCCTTCCCCCTGCCTGAGTTCTGCCCATCCTCTTCTGAAAGACCTCCCAAGGCCTTGGCCCAACTGATCTTTTCTGAACTGAGTACCTGAACCATTCGTTTATTACTTCAGCAGCAAGCTGCCTTGCATTGTTGTTTGTATATGGGTGTGTGTGCCTTCCCAAATACATTTTTTCCCCTGATAGGTTTCCCAGCTTCAGAGAGGTCTGCCCTAGCTTCTAGGACCTAGAAATAGATGGGTGATCTGTAAATGAGAATGAAAATAGATCTTTATTACTTCTAATTCCTTTTGCACCGTAAATCAGCTAGTATCTCCAATAAAAGAGTAGTGTAGGCATTCATGAGGTTTGGATTTTAGGTATAACTATCAACAATAATGATTTCTTTAGCAGGAGAGTATGGGCCAAGATAGCCAACCAGACGCAGGATCCTGGACCCTTCTAAGTATCAAAAGATGAAGGTAGTAGCCTTTCCTAGTGAGAGTCTGAGTCCTTGTTTGAGGCACGGAATGTGCACTTCCAAGTGCTGTTGTTACCCTTCACATACTTTATCTTCCTGTGAGTGCTAACTATTTTAAAGAAGTTAAAATTTCCCTGTCTATGATGGTAAGAAAGGAGGTAATTTATTGATTTTATGAGGAAAAGCTGTAAAAAAACAAAAAGATTTAACAGTAGAGAAACTGTTTTTAGCTAATGTAATAACTTAGGACATAATTAAATGTATTCACTTTTCTCCTAGGGTATATGTTGGAGCCAGACCCTGACAAAAGGCCAGATATTTACCAGGTCTCCTACTTCTCTTTTAAGCTACTCAAGAAAGAATGCCCAATTCAAAATGTGCAGGTATGTGAGTGTTGTTTTTTAAAGGAAGTAAACAGTATCAGATTGCCATTTTGAGTTCCTGCGGTGTTAATCAGCTCTTTAAATGAATACAGATGGCCCTTGCTTTATCTTCTGGGGTCACTCAAGCAAAAGTAGCTGAGAAGCACTTGCTATAAAGGGAATCCACTTTTCCCATGGAATTTAATTATCAAACCAAGGCAATCACACTGAACAAAAAAATGCCCAAGGGACCGAGTTGACCGCTTTGGCTGAAGGTGTCCAATTTCCTGTCTTGTCATCTTTTTACTGAGAGCCACGTGCCTGTTATATTTGCCTGCGATTGTTTCCTCAGGCTGCTTTCCTGAGGCAAACCCTGAACTTGCCCCCTTGCCCAAGCTCCTCCTCTCTGTTGCCTCTCCTTGGCAGCAGTGTTCCTGACTGCGCATCTGCTGTTCCCTGTATCTGTAACTCATCCTTGTTCTTCTTTTTCCTCTACCCTGCCTGCACATGACAGGCCATAAGAGTGTTTCCTGTACTTGTGATCTTAACCTCTGTACTTTTAAGTTTCCAGAGTAAATTGCTTAGAAGCACCCCTTTTGCAATCTGGATATATTTTTCAAATCATGTTATGAGCCAGTTATCTTGAAGATTCTGCTGTAATGGTTTACTGTAATTCTCACCTTAAGTTTTTTTTCTCCTACTTTCCCTGTTTGTGAACTTTTGATTGATGTCTCTACTATGACTAAAGGGTGCAGATAAAAAGAAATCCTTCTTTCATTCCCACATTTGGAATCATATGCAGAGCTCATTCAGATAGACCTCAAAATATTGACTTTGTTTCTGATAAGACTGAGTCAGAGGACACAGCTTGAGCAGTCAGGCTCCCTAGCATTACATCCACCTGCCTCACATGTAAATGCCTGATTCCCAGGGGACAGGCTCTTCCCTAACCCAGGCAAGGCAAGGGTGAGCCAGGCAAGCTCATTTCTTTCCCTTCCCAGGCTTCTCCATCAATTATGCTCCTCACTTGGGAGAGGACTGTTTGAAGGATGAACTTTTTTAGCATACATTCCTCTACCTGGAAACAAATAAAATGAGAGGACCTTTAAAAGCCAATGTTTAAAAAATTTTTTAAGATTTATTTTTTAAGGGCCCGGCGCGGTGGCGCAAGTGGTTAAGTCCTCGCCTAGCACGCCCAGGATCCCATATGGGCGCCGGTTCTAATCCCGGCAGCCCCACTTCCCTTCCAGCTCCCTGCCTGTGGCCTGGGAAAGCAGTCGAGGACAGCCCAAGGCTTTGGGACCCTGCACCCGCGTGGGAGACCTGGAAGAGGCTCCTGGCTTCGGACCGGCATAGCATCGGGCTGTTGTGCTCACTTGGGGAGTGAATCATCGGACGGAAGATCTTCCTCTCTGTCTCTCCTCTCTGTATATCCGCCTTTCCAATAAAAAAATAATAATAATAAAAATAAATCTTTAAAAATAAAAAAAAGAAAAAAAAGATTTATTTTAAAAAAAATTTTTTTTAAGATTTATTTATTTTTACTGGACAGAGAAGGAGAAACATAGAGAAAAATCTTCTATCTACTGGTCCAAACCTCAAGTAGTCACAATGGCTAGAGCCAATCCAAACCAGGAGCCAAGAACTTCTTCCAGATTTCCCACATGGGTGCAGGATCCCAAGACTTTGGTCCATCCCATACTGCTTTCCCAGGCCACAGGTAGGGAGCTAGGTAAGAAGTGGAGTAGCTAGGATACAAACCAGTATTTATATGGGATTCCAGTGATTGCAAGGTGAGGATTTAGCCACTAAGCCATTGCATCAGGCACTTGATTGATTGATTGATCTGAAATGAAATGCATAGGGAGAAAGAGATTTTCATCTGCTGGTTCACTCCCCAAATACCCGTAATAACCAAGACTGGACCAGTCCAAAACCAGCGGTCTGCAACTCAGTCTGCATTTCCCACATGGATGGCAGAGACCCAGCTACTTGAACCATCAAGTACTGTTTCTCAGGGTGCATGTTAACAGGGATGTGGAGTTGGAAGTGGGGCCAGAACCTGAACCAAAGCACTCTAATATAGGATTCAGGTGTCCCAAGAAACAGTTTGATCACTGTACCGTATAGTCACCCTGAAAAGTTAGTTTTATATAGCTAGCACTGTTTGTCAGATTTTCCAGCTAAAACCAGGGATATTGTATAATAACCAAATGTAGCTGTGTTTTCTTTTGCAGTCCTATCTTTCCACTTTTAAAGTAAATAACATGCAATGTAATCAGAAGCATTCAGATTGGAAGTTAGTTTTTTAGGCATGTATTTTACATGTCTCCTATCATTTGGTCCTCACAGTAAAATGGTAAACAGTTGTTTTATGCGTAGGTACAGATGGCTTGGTGTTCCCTCAAGAGGCAATATTGGATCTTGCAGAATCCAGGCTGGCTTGTGGATAGGCTTCAGCTTCCTATGTTGAGAAGAGATGCTGGCTTAGCAACCACATACACTGCAAATGTTCAAATAAAGACTCCATAGGTTGGCGAACCAGTTAGCTGTAACTTCTGTGGGAACTTGAATCATATAGGTTACAAATATCTCTTTCTCATTGCTCTCATAGCATTACTTCTAAGCTGTGCTGTAGAGGAACAGGGATACTAAAATCAAGCCCCCAGTGATCTAGGCCTGGTGCAAACAGTGGAGAATGATCAGGGAAAGTGTGTTATGAGCAAGCCGCAAGCTGCTTTCTCTTCTCAGAGACTTTGCTTCCCTGACTATGGCTGAGTCTGACAGGCATTTGGTTAACTTTTCTTCCCTCTATCGGAGAGCAGAGCCTAGAAGCCACTCTGTGTAAGACTCCAATATGTATTTCCATCAGTCCCAATCAGGCTGGTTATTGTTTTCTTAACAAAGAAATCTTTGATGTCCTTTTCCCTTTCTAATTCTATAGAACTCTCCCATTCCTGCAAAGCTTCCTGAACCAGTGAAAGCCAGTGAGGCAGCTGCAAAAAAGACCCAGCCAAAGGCCAGGTAAGGAAAAACTTTGTTACGACCTGTTCTGCTCTGGTTGCCATGACAGCAGGGGAGGATGCCCTGTGTTTCTTGATTCTTTAGCTGCCTGTGACCTGAGGGTACAAAGATCAGAAAAGGAAATTGTTTCTGCCTTAGGCAGAAACTGTTGGAAAGGAATAAAATGAAATAGTGTGATCTACATTTGAAAGAAAACCCAAAACTCCTTAGCTATTTGCTATGCCTGGGAACAAGCACGGGGTATTGAGAGTTGAGGCTAGGGGCAGACTTTAAATATTGCGAGTGTCCTAACCCATGTGTCCTGGCTTTTGATTGGCCCTGTTCACCACCCTAACCTTTAGTCTTTTGGATTCATAGTTATCTGTATCAGGCACAGACACAGCCTGTAAAATCTAACCAAGGACCTGTTTCTCCTTTCCCACAAAGCTCTCACATTGAAGCCCAGACTAACGTTTTGGATCCTCTAAAGTTAATGAAGTGGTTTCACGGTAATTGATGCACTTGATGGACCACATATGCCATGTGATTGCAGGCATACATGTGTTTTCCTGTCAGTGAACATTAGACATGTGTGTTTAGCTCCATTTTCCTGAAAAGAGAACTGAGGGTGAAAGAGGTTACAAGGCATATGCCTGTACATAGGTGGCTAGGGAGGAGCTTGAGCACAAATGGAGTTCTCTTTGGCTCCAGATCCCTTTATTTCTAAGCTGTTCGCTTCAGAAGAGAACCAGTGTGGGAGTTCTCACATCTGCTCACGTCCCCCACTCCTGGCTTTTTCTTTTTTCTCTTTACTTCCCCAGCATTGGTCCCGTTTTCCTTCCCACTTCCCTTCTCCAGGCTGCAGCCTGGCCCTATTACATAGCATTTGTATTATGAGTACAACCACCAGCATAAAATCATGCCTGTTAAAATTGAAAAGTTTATGGATCCCAAGATGGACATTCCTTGGAATTGTGTCATTGAGGAGGACTTGGGGCCACCTGCTGTGCTTACTGTTTCACATTTAATGGAGGAGGTGCCAGGCATGTTTTGGGAATATTCTTGAAGCTGGTTTATATGGGCTTTGGTTTCACATGTGCTCCCCTAGGTGCAGTGTCTAAGGACAGCAGCTCTGCTCTGAGTCAGGTAGCAGCCAACCTGGTGGACCACTGTGAGTGCTGTAAATTGGCACCTGGACTGCAGCACTGTCACTAGGAACAAGCAGCCACACAGCAGTTGTCCCTTTTATACTGGCTTTAGTCACACAAAATCCAAAATGACAGTGGCATATAGGAGATAGATAATTGCTTATTAATAGTATTTTTTTTCTCCAAGTAAACAAAAGCCTAGAAGAAAGTAGGCCATGGCTGCTTCATTTCATGAAGCCCTCAGGGGTCACGACAGAAGGCGCACTGCTCTGTCATCTCGTGGTGAGCCATGACCTCTTAGAGCAGTGAGGCAGTGTTCAGGAGCAGCCAAGCAAGGGACACAAAGGATATGCACCACTGACTTTTTTTTTAAGATTTTTTTTTTATTAGAAAGTCAGATTTACAGAGAGAAGGAAATACAGAAGGAAAGAACTTCTGTCCTCTGATTCAATCCCCAAGTAGCTGCAATGGTTGGAGCTGAGCTGATCCAAAACCAGGGACCAGGAATTTTCTTCAGGTCTCCCACATGAGTACAGGGTCCCAAGGCTTTGGACCATCCTCTACTGCTTTCCACAGGACACAAGCAGGAAGCTGAAAGGGAAGTGGAACAGCCAAGAGCCAAGATACAAACCAGAGCCCATATGGGATCTCCATATATGCAAGGCATGGACTTTAGCCACTAGGCTACCGCGCTTGGCCTACCACTGATTTCATACACTTTGTTTCTGAGGCTTTCTAGAAACTGCCACATAGGAATCTGTTAACATCCCATGTAAGGCCACAACTTAAATATTTGGATTCAAAACAAGTTAGACAATATGACATGGCCTTTACCCTTGATCCTGTGCCCAGCCAAAAAAGTCTCTACTGTGGAGAAAGAGTCTGTGTGTCATGTGAGCTGTCACACAGCTCATACTTACCCCTTGTAGTTGTCATGCAGAATTCACTAACTGGCATGCTTTCTGTTGTGGAGAGACCGTCTCATCAGTTGTTTTATTATTATTATTATTATATTTTAAATATTTATTTTCTCATTTAAAAGAATTGAGAAAGAAAAGAGAAGAGAGACATGTGCTGGTTTACTGCAGCTGATGGCTACAGCAGCTAAGGCTGGGCTAAGCCAAAGCCAGGAGTTTTCATCCAGGTTTCCTACATGGGTACAGGAGCTCAAGCACTTAGGCCATCTCCCACTGCTTTTCCCAGACCATTAGCAGGGAGCTGAATTGGAAGTAGGGCAGCTGGCATATAAACTGGAGCTGATATGGGATGCCAGCTTTACAAGGAGTGATTTTTCCTGCTGCTCCACAATGCTGGCCCAACAGTTGGTTCTAACCAAGTTTGAGTACCTTCTCTATCAGAAAACCACCTACCTCAAACCACTCTTTGTATCACTGCATAAAGCATTCTCTGGGACAACCCAGCAAATATGGGCAAGAGTCCCAGGACCTAAAAAACTAAAAGGGCATACAACGTTCTCTTTTTTAAATTCTCTATATACGTTCATACACGACAAGTTATGCTGGGAGAAATCTATTCAACAAATTTTGGTTGATGTGTTCTAATGTATTTGCCCTTTTTTCACAGCATTGAGTAACACACTAACATCCTGTGTGCTCTACTTTGTGAAGTGGATTAAGAGGGTCTGGATGAGTGATGGGGAGAGCAGCATGAACTCTTCTCACCCCTCTGTTTTTCTCACACTAACATGAAAAATCTTTTTTCCTTGTCCTTTTCTAGACTGACAGATCCCATTCCCACCACAGAGACTTCCATTGCACCCCGCCAGAGGCCTAAAGCTGGGCAGACTCAGGCAAATCCAGGAATCCTTCCTATCCAACCAGCGCTGACTCCTCGTAAGAGGGCCACAGTTCAACCCCCACCTCAGGTTGCAGGTCAGTAGCTGGACTGGTGGGAAGCTAGATTCATCTTTATTATCCTAGATGAAAAGAAAGTCTTCAGAAGCATGGCTTTACTTTAGGAAAAGTAAACAACAGCATACAACAATGGCTTTCCTCTAGGATCAGAAAGTGGTGAAACTGGCTGGCAAATGACTGGCAAAAGGGGAGACTCTACATGGAATTCTGAGATGGATTTTCAAGACCACTGAAGTCTGCTTTTCTTACTTAGACTTGTCCCTGATTTTGTGATTTGGTCCATCCAGATCATATCTGTCTCTTTTAAAGAAGTAAGATTCGCCTCTTTGACACTCAAAAAAGAATAGTGTTGAATGCTTTCTCTTTTAAAGTACATTTTACCTCTTCATGATTCGGTATTGAACACAGCCATTACTTCCTCCAATAGAAAACTAGTGAATTTGGTGATCTATTCATAGGCAGGTAGGCATCCGGAGTGAGGGTGTGTAAGCAACACGTAAAGCCTCAAAGAGCTTCTTTGTCATGTATCATGCCAGTGGGCACATAGGTTATGTCTGTGTGCAGTGGCAATAGAGGCCAGTAGTACATGGATAAGGGTGGGGACTGGCTGGCCCATGTGCCACATAAGGTCCACAAGATGACTAAGTTGATGATTTTGTGTGGTCTGCAGATGATTACTATAAATGTCCAAATGAACCTTGGTAGAAAAGAGGTTCCCCACTCCTGATGCAGACAGATAACTCAGGGTGCTGAGTAGCTGATTCAGTGGATGACAAATAGCAGAAGACTTACTGAAGGAGGTGTAATACTCCTTTGATCCCTATTATTGAACCTTGTTTTGAGGAACAAAGTACAGCAAGAAGATGGAAAGAGACCTAAGTGAGACAGAGCATGTAAAAGAGCAGTGAGGAGCTCCAGCAGATCTTGGGATGGCTTTTCAACTTATTACCCTCTCTTCATTGTGCTAACAAGACAGAAAGCTATTTGGGGTGGAAAAAGCCCTTATGCGCAGTTTATTCTCTTTGCAGGATCCAGCAATCAGCCGGGCCTCTTGGCCAGTGTTCCCCAACCAAAAGCCCAACCCCAACCCAGCCAGCCCCTGCCACACCCTCAGCCCAAACAGCCTCAGGCTCCGCCTGCCCCTCAACAGACACCTTCCACTCAGGCCCAAGCTACACCTCAGCACCAGCAGCAGCTCTTCCTCAAGCAGCAGCAGCAGCAGCCACCACCACAGGCGCAACAGCAGCCACCACAGCAGCCAGCGGGCACATTTTACCAGCAGCAGCAGCAACAGCAACAGCAGCAGGCCCAGGCCCAGCAGGTGAGGTGGCCAGTGAGAGCCTTGTACAGAGCTGAGTCCTGATTGTAAGACAGAGCTGTTCACCATTACCTCCTATTTCCTTGTCACTCACTTCCGCCCTTTCCCAGGTTTTCTCTGGCCATCAGGAATCTGCCACCTCATGGAGGAACCGTACCAAAGCAGCTGTTTTTTAAGGATGCTTTGCTTCCTTGGTTTTTACTTGTTTTAGCTATACCACCATTATTTCACATGTTTTAGCTATACCATCACTATTATAATGGGGAAAATAAATAAATTCTTACTTTTATTAGACGTCCAGTAGTGTTTAACAAGTCCTGATGTCTCATAACTTAGAGTGATTTGCTTGAATCAGGGTCCAAAAAAGGTCCATATGTCATTTGGTTGATGTATATTGTTTTCCTTTTTTTTTTTTTTTTTTAGTTTTTTGTTATGGATATATTCATTATATCATGCTTGATATAGCTTTTAAGTCCGTTTTTATCCATAGGTTCTCTCCCCCTGTATTTTTCTTCTATGATTTATTATTAGTTCTTAAGATGCTGGATTATTTGTCCTGTAGGATTTTCTACATTCTAGATTTGGCTAGTTGTGTCCCTGTTGTGTCATTTGATTTGTTTCTCCATCCTCTGTGTCAACTGGTCATTTCTTGAGACTTGCATAGTGTTTTATTCACTTTGACAATTGTCCCAATGCTGGGCATTCGAAGTCTGTTTGAATTGGCTGTGGGTCCTTTGGATGTGGCTCTAATAGTTTCTAATGTTGTCCTTGCCACCTGTTGTAATAAACTTTCAGGATCATTCTGCCTTATACCTGGAATCATTCATGTTTCGGGGAAACCACAGTTTGGGGACTACAGGACCTCATTTATCAGTGGGTCAGTTGTTGTTTCTGGGTCTTTTCAGGACATTTAAAAAATAATATCTTTTGTTGGGGAATACACCTTATGAGTTCAGATTTGTAGCTATAAGATTTTGTTTAACTTTGTACATTTTATTTTCTTTTTCCCACCTGAAAAATCTTAATTCCAAAGAAACTTAACGTTGTTAATTATTTGACTTATAGTTTCAAGATGATAATACCCATATGATTACTGAAAATAGTTTAAAAATTCCTTACCCAGCTTGCCCTTAGATTGCTTAATATATTGTTTTCTGGGGAGTTTATCCACCACTTTGATATATAGGTTTATTGATTTCATTGTGCTTTGGGTTTTTAATTTTTACTTTTAAATTTTTGTCTGGTTTTGTTTTATGAATATGTGAAATACTAACATTATTTCCAAATTAAATCTTCAAAATTCTTTGGCGTCTGGTTCATATATGTGTAGCCCTGGTTCCTGTTTATGACCTGGGAGCGTTCCATTTGGTATATCCTTGAGGCTGTATCGTCATTGGTTCCATCTCCTGTTGATAAACATTTGAGATTGTTACCAGCAATTGTGTGATGGATGAATAGACAGCTAGTTTTAACATCTGCTTCTTCATTTACCCTTTAACTTTATTCTAATTAAAACAAGTATGATTGCACCTGTGACTGTGAGAAATCATTTGTTAGCTTTGGTGATGCTCCAGCTTGCAGAGTCACGTGGTAGTCAGTCACCTTTGCCCAGGGCAGATCTAGGAAGGCCCAGCCAGTGCAGTGGCAGAGCCTGGTGGTATAAAATATTGCCATGTTGTTCTTGGATCTTGGTACTAGAAATGTTCATGTTTTGTGAATGTAGTAGTCACTTCATTTCCTGTCACGTTCTCCTGTTTAGTTCCAGACAGTCCATCCAACAACCCAGCAACCAGCCATTGCTCAGTTCCCGGTGGTATCCCAAGGAGGCTCCCAACAGCAGCTCATACAGAATTTCTACCAGCAGCAGCAACAGCAGCAGCAGCAACAGCAGCTGGCCACAGCCCTGCATCAACAACAGCTGATGACTCAGCAGGCTGCCTTGCAGCAAAAGGCTGCTGTGACCACAGTACAGCAGCCTCAGGCACAGCCAACTGTGGCCACACAACCATCTCCTGCCCAAGAGCCAACGGTAAGGATCAGCCAGGGCTCAGAGCACAAAGAAGAGTGTACAGTGAGGTCTCAGAAAAAGACAGGGGGGTGGCAGCAGCTAAGAGAGAGCCTCTGGACTAGAACCAAGTTGCTTTCCCATTCTAGTGATTAAGATATTTGATCTTTGCTTGATATGTACAGCAGTAATATGACGTATTCTGTAGATGGTAGAGGCTTTTTAAAAATGAGTCTGATATTCTAATTTATTGATCTGCAATTAGACTGGCAGAAGGAGCTATTGTCAGTGCCACTGTTGAACAGTCAAGGTGTAGGTAGGATCAAAACGAATTCCCTTTTCCTCTTCCAGGGACAGTCTGATCTACTCCACCCTTTCTGTCTCTACAGGTTTAAATGGGCCTCTACCTTTACCCCGAGTCTGATGGTACTCTGTTTATTCTTTGTCTTGGCTAATGTTAGGAACCATATCAGTCAAGTCTGCCATTCAGCACCCTTCAAGGGCTTGCTTATCCAGAACTGTTTACAGTGGCCTGGTCCGCTTGGGCACCAGAGCAACTGAGTTACTTGGGCCATCTTGTCACTTTAGAAATTGACATGTTAGGTTTGGCTAGTCCCTGAACGTGATATCAGAACCCCTCTCCAGTTTGGGTTCTGTAGTTTCTACAAACTTGGGCATGTCATGCTTTGGCCTTTAGTCAATGATCTTTGTTCTATACTCACGGTTTTGTGAGTGGTAGTTGTTGTAATATTTTTGATAGTAATAGAAAAAGGCATTTTTCATACCCACATGATAGAGTATCACAGCTACTTTCTTATTCCCAGGAAAACCCCACCTACTAGACGAAGGAAGGAAAAGTAAGAAACCATCTTTCTGAGGATTGATTTCTATTAGAGTTTTGTCGCCCATCTTAAACCAGAAAACTTCCATCCCTCCAAAAGGAAGCAGTGCCGCAAATAGATTGTCTGCTTTAATTCTCAGCTAAGTGTGTATTCAGTGTCTTTACAACTTCGTCTCGGAAATGGCTCCGTCTTCCGGCAGGCGTTTGCTGGACAACCACTCTCTTCATTACTAGCAAGAGATAAAGCTCCTCTGGGCATTAGAAAAAGAGTTTCACAAAACAATTGCATAATAGAACTAGAAGAAATTCTGCAATGCATTCCAGACCCCTCATTTCATGGTGTTGAAAACTTGGGCCCAGACTAGAAAAGTGATTGCCTATGACCTTGAGAAAGCCTCAGAAAGGTCAATATCTTTTAGTTCCATTTTCCCGTGAATTCTTTGAAGTTTGAAATCAACAGTAGGAATTGGGACTGAAAAAAATGAATTTTAATCTGTGTTGAAGGATGATAATAATAATTGCACTTCCAGGATGATGACACAGTCAGCTACCACTGACTACAGTTCTTAGCTGGATAATGGTATCTACTTCCCAGGAAATAATCACCCTTCTGCATGTTCCTTGGGTAGAAAAGTACTTTGAGCACTTTGCCTTGGGGTGGGTGGTTTAAGGGACAGTGAGAGAATAGGGGCTGACTCCTAACAAGGCTTCTTTAGACCAGAAAGTAAGTGCTAGGTCAAGATCCTGCAGGCATTTTAAACACTAATCCACAAGGGGAAAATGGCCTTGCATCCTAGATGTTCTTATTAATATTAGCCCAAAAGAAGAAAGCATCTACATTGCTGGAACCCACCTGTGAAGTGATTAAAAATCATGGTTATAAAATTTGGACAACACTGTGAAAAAATACTTAGGAAATATTAAAACTTATGAAAAAAGCATGTACTTAAAAGAGACTTAAATACAAACCACTAAGAATAAGAATGGAACTCTTTTTTTTATTTCTTGTAAGGGTAACACAGAGAAGTCTTCTGTCTAATATGATCAATCTCCAGATGGCCACAACAGCAGCCAGGAACTAAGCACTTGAACCAGCACTCTGACATGTAATGCAGGAGTCCCAAGCAGTAACTTAACATGCTGTGCCACAATGCCCACCCTTCTCTTCATGTCTTGAGATTGTTACACTTCTTTTGTTTTTTAAAATTTATTTTTATTGGAAAGTCAGATATACAGAGAAGAGGAGAGACAGAGAGGAAGATCCATCTGCTGAGTCATTCTTTCCCAAGAGGCCGCAACAGCCAGTGCTCAGCCAATCCAAAGCTAGGAGTCTGGAGCCTCTGAGGCACTGTCACATGAGGTCAAGAATGGAGTCTTTTATTTGTGCTCTCCTGTTGGCACTCAAAAAATTTTGGATTTAAAAGCATTTCAGGTTTAAATTTAGGGGTGTTCCACCTACAGCAGACTGCTCATATACTATAAGGTAGCCTCCTGGTGGAGGCATCTCCTCAGTGTGCTGCACAGAATCAGTAAGAGGAGGGGAAATGTGCTCTAATTTGTGTGCATTCTATAAAATGACATGCCTGATGCTTAGTACTGTTTCACAGTGATGAAATATGAAATAAGCCAGTCTACCGGTGTGCTCATAGCTTCTGTCCCCGTGGAGATGGAGCTCTGGTCTTCCTTGGAAGGGACCCTGCTCCTCCTGTACCAAGGCTACTGCATTATTTTTCTAACCTTAGTTTGATAGATTCTTGAACTGTATATTTTATTGTCCAGGCTGTTGGTGAAGTGGTTATTATATAGATAATATCTACATAGTCTGCCTCAATGGATGTTCCAAGTCTAGAAAACAACACACAGCCAGTAACCCACCTTATAAGATCCTCCTCTCGAGTAGCTGGATATTCTGGTTTCGCTAAACTCTCCCAGGGCTTGGTTCTTAGACACGCAGTGTAGAAGGGCAACACTCTGATCTAACTGCAGGGAAGAGACAATAGAATCCCTGGAGTATTGCATATCCTAAGTCATTGTTATCTAGACTGGCAGAATTAAAAGAGCAAGTTATATGGCTTTCTTAACATTTTTCTTTTATGAAAAGGATAAGACTGGAGACTTATTTTTTTAAGAGGTAGAGAAAAAGAGCCCTTACCTGTTGATTCACTCCTCAAGGGTACACAGTGTCTAGGAGTCAGGAAATCAGTCCAGGCCTCCCATGACGGTGGTAGGGACCCAGATACTCGAGCCATCAACACTGCATCCCAGGGTTTGTATAAATATGAATGTGGACTCAGGATCCAGAGCTAAGGGGTAAATCCAGGTTTTCTACTACAGGTGTCTTAGGTGAAGCCATCCACTGTTAATGTTTTGTTCCTTTTCCTTGATATAGGTAACTGTGTAAGAACCACTCGTGGTCCTGAGAATGTACTACCTGCTATTGTTCTTGGTAGCAGTTTGGCTATGTTCTGACAATTGCCCATACCTCAAGAGTCCTTGTGTTGTCAGCTCAATGATCATCAAAAGCATTATTTTCCCTTCATTGCACAAGGGTACTTCCAAAACTGTTCAAAGTAGGATTAAAAGAAAGTTCATTTTGGTGCAGAACATTGTTGAAATCTGTATGTATTTTTTTGAAATTTTCAATGACCCTTCATATACATGGGTTTCAAAAACATTTTTTAAAGGTTTATTTTATTTATTTAAAAGGCAGAGTGACAGAGAAAGGGAGAGACAGAGAGAGAAAGAGAACTTCCATCTACTGGTCCATTCCCCAAATGGCTGCAATGATTAGGGATGACCCAAGCTGAAGCCAAGAGCCTGAAACTCCATTTCTCCCATGTGAGTGGCAGGGGCCCAAGTACTTAAACCATTCTCCACTGCTTTCCCAAGCAAGTTAACAGGGAGCTGGATGTGATGCAGGGCAGCCAGGACTCAAACCCATGCTCTGATTTGGGAAGCCAACATCACAGCTGCTGCTTAACCTGTTGCACTACAACTGTATTCCCCAAATTGTTTTTACACCAAAGTAAGTTTATTGCTTTATTTTATTTTATTTCATTTCATTTTACTTTATTTTATTTCACCTGTTTGAGATATAGGCAGTGAAGAGAACACTCCCATCTGCTAATTCACTCCCTAAATGCCCACAGTAGCCAGGACTGGGCCTTACTACCCATATCAAGCCAAAATCAGGAGCTTGGAACTCAGTCTAGAAGTCACACATGGGTGACAGGGACTTCAGCCACACCTGCTGTCCCTCTTGCTGTACTTTATTATTATTTTTTTTAAAGATTTATTTATTTATTGGAAAGTCAGATATATAGAGAGAGGAGGAGAGACAGAGAGGAAGATCTTCTATCCGATGATTCACTCCCCAAGTGACCGCAATGGACAGTGCTATGCCGATCCGAAGCCAGGATCCAGGAACCTCTTCCGGGTCCCCCACACGGGTGCAGGGTCCCAAGGCTTTTGGCCATCCTCGACTGCTTTCCCAGGCCATAAGCAGGGAGCTGGATGGGAAGTGGAGCTGCCGGGATTAGACCCGGCATCCATATGGACCCCGGGGTGTTCAAGGCAAGGACTTTAGCTGCTAGGCCACACCACTGGCCCCCATGCTGTACTTTAAGCTGGAATCAGGAGCAGCACCAGAATTTAACCTAGGCACTCTAATGTGAGATGCAGCCACCTTAACTTCTGTGTCACACACCCATCCATAAATTTATCTTAATTTTATTTTCCACAAACCATTGATGTACCCTGGAATTCTTTGTTGGTTCTCCAAAGCTATTTCCAAATTATAGACTGGAATAAATCCCTCGACCCCTAGCTCATACATTTTCATGTAGTCAAAGAAATAAGGTCCTCTGGACACATCCCCACAATGAAGTAAATTGGCTTTACAAAACAAAAAAGTACTACAGAACCAGTAGAGTTCTGATTTCTGAAAAGTTGCAGCTGTTAGAGTTAGGGGTCTCTTAGTGGAAACCAGTTTTGTTTTTAAGATTCCATGATTTCAAAAACACAGAGACACACAGAGAGAAAACAAGATAGAGAAGAAAGAAATCTTCCATTTGTTGATTCACTCCCTAGGACTGGGCCAGACCAAGCTAAACTCCATGCAGATTTTCCATGTGGGTGGCAGGAACCTGGATACTTGGCCCATCTTCTGCTGCTTTCCCAGGTGCCTTACCAAGGAGCTGCATTATAAGTGGGGTAGTTAGGATGTGAATCAGTGCTCAGATAGGATACTGATTTAACAAGCTTGCCACAGTGCCTACCCAAAACCATTCCAAGTTTAATTTCATTTAAGCTTAGGTGTTCAACAGCTTCTAACTGCAGTGTAGAATCTAAACTGCTTGCCCTTTGGGATTCTGAGTTAGTTCCTAAAGTGATCTGAAGAAGATGGTTGCAGAGAGAGATCTATCCGCTGGTTCACTCCCCAAAAGGTTATAATGACCAGCACTGAAGCAGCCTGCAGCCAGGAGCTTCATCAAGGTCTTCCTTGTGGTGGCAGGGGCCCAGGTACTTGGACCATCATCTGCTACTTTCCCATGCCATGAACGGGAAGCTAGATTGAAAGGGAACAACTGAAATGTGAACTTATGTGGGATACCAGTGTCGCGAGCATCCGCTTTACCTGTTACACCACCACGCCATGCTCAGAAAGCAATCTCTTTAAGATATATCCTAGATCTTTAGAGCTAGGAGTAGACTCTGTGGTCTTAAGCTGTGTGTTAAATCACATAGGGTTGCTATGAATATCGTTGCTAATGAGGATTGAAATTTTTGTGTAAATACTAGGCAGATGCCGTGTTAGAATCAGCCTCATAATTGCAGCTTGGATTGTCAAAGCATAGTTCATTCTTTGTGAGTGTTACTGATGAGCTGTCATTTGAGTCCCGCATTAACTGTCATGTGGCATTTATATCTGTTTGTTTTCCCTTTTGCTCCCTTCCCCCCTCCCCCAATGAAACACTTTCCGTCTCTCTTCTTTGCAGATTCAAGCCCCTGTAAGACAACAACCAAAAGTTCAGACAACCCCACCTCCTGCTATCCAAGGGCAGAAACTTGGATCTCTCACTCCTCCATCATCCCCGAAAACCCAGCGTGCTGGGCACAGGCGGATTCTCAGTGATGTAACCCACAGTGCGGTCTTTGGGGTCCCAGCCAGCAAATCAACCCAGCTGCTCCAAGCAGCTGCAGCTGAGGCCAGTCTCAATAAGTCCAAGTATGCGGTGCTTCCCCTTTGTTCTTGCTTTGGTGGGCAAGGCCTGCCTTCGGCTGTAACAGTGTGATTCTTAAGTATGTAAACGCATGTAGATGTTTGTATCATATGTCTGTGTTTAATAAGAAACCTTGAAGTTGCCTGAAGTGCATGTACCCTGCCGATCTTCAGAAGCAGTTTTCTCCTTGTCCTGCTGTTTACATTCTCTGGTTTATTCTGTGTTCTACAGAATATTTTTTTCCCTCTTATTTTAAAGATCTAATTATTTCAAAGGCAGAGATGCAGAGAGCGCGAGAGCGAAAGAGAGAGAGAATCTTCCACCTATTGGTTTACTCCCTAGATGGACATAATAGTTGTACATGGGATAGGCTGAAGCCAGGAGCTTCATCTGAGTCTCCCACATGTGTACAGGAGTCAAGGACTTGGGCCATCCTCTGCTGCTTTCCCAGGCATATTGGCAATGAGGTGAATTGGAAGTGGAGCAGCCAGCACCTGAACTGGCACCAATGTGGGATACCAGCACTGCAGTCATCAGTATTACTTGCTGTGCCACAGTGTGAACCTTCTTTTTTATGTTTTTTTTAAGAATCTTTTTTATTTTTATTTATTTGAAAAGTCAGAATTACACAAAGAGAGATCTCTCATCCTCTCCAGATTCACTCCCAGGTGGCTGTGATGGCCAAGGCTGACCCAGGCCAGAGCCAGGAGTCTCATCCAGGTGTTTCAAATGGTTGACAGGGGTCTAAACACTTGCATCTTCTGCTGCTCTCCTAGGAGGTTAGCAGAGCTGGATCAGAAGTGGAGCAGCTGGGACATGAACTGGTGTCCATTTGGGATGTTCTCATCACAGGCGATAGCTTTGCCTGCTATACCACAATACTGGCCCCCACTACAGAAAGTATTTTCTAAACTCTTGAACTGACCAGATTTCTCCATGCTGAAATTTTTTTGCCGAAGCCTGTAGCTGAGAAGTACTGAGCCTGCTGGTTGGCACAGCAAGGCTTGATGCATCAGACACATAGATCTGCCCCTCATTACCTTCACAGGTTCTTGGCTGGTCCTGTACCTCTGCCTGGTGCCAGCATTCCCCACCCCCGGCCCCCCAGTCCTCCTAGGAAATGCTCATTTATTCATTAAGAGCCCTGTAACTTGCTTTTTGATACATGATTTTGTCTGGTCTATATATGTGTGTATTATATTGGGTCATCATGGCTTTACATACATGACCTAGCCTTTGAGTTCTCAAAGATAAGGGCTGTCTGAGTCAGCCTTTGTAAACCAAGTGACTGGCTCTGTGCCTAACATTAAGTGTATTTGCTGAGTGTCTGTTGTGTTCATGTAATTTCAGGCCCTCAGCTTTTCTGGGAACCTGTCTCTCTAATGTTAAAAGGCTTTAAGTCGAGAGACTTTTGAAGCAAATTAAGTAATGATACACAGAAGTTTAAAATAGCAAGAACTGTGTGTATCTTTCATTGTGTTGGTAGCCCTAATTATATGCATATTAGATCCCGAAAGGTGGGGTCAGTCAATGCATATGTTATGGTGGGCACCATAGGAAGCACAAGCCCAGGGCAGGTTGCTTTGCAGTCCTGAACTGAAGAGACTTCCAGGTGAGACTGAAATCTGAGCAAGGATTAGAGTCATGGAGGAAAGGAAGCATTTGTTTCACAAAGAATTATGGCAAGTTCTCCGTTGGTGTGGACAGCCCTATTAAGAAAACACTCTTAAAAAATGTTTAGGAAAGTGTGATTGACTCAGAAAAGAATTTGTTCCTGAAACAAAATTTTCTTCAACTTCTATTTGTCTCTTCATTTCCTGGGGGCGGGAACCTCTGTAGGTCTGCAACTACCACTCCATCTGGCTCTCCTCGGACCTCCCAGCAAAATGTTTATAATCCTGCAGAAGGCTCTACCTGGAATCCCTTTGATGACGACAATTTTTCTAAACTCACAGCTGAAGAACTGCTAAACAAGGACTTTGCTAAGCTAGGGGAAGGTAAGTGAATGGTCCTATTTGTGATTCTTGACTGTGACTTCTCTATGCTAAAAAGTCACCAGGAGTCAGAGTGAATCCTAACTGTAAAGACGTGAACATGGAGGTGTGGGCCCTTTCTCAAAGGCTCAGTTTCAGAGCTTGCCTGCGAATCTGTCTTTACTTTTACTAAAACATTGAAGTCTTTTGATGTGCAAAAAATTCTGACCTATCATGGGTTGCAGCAAGGAGAGCAGGAACATGAGGGAAGAACCTTCCAGAAAAGATTCTGTGGCATAGAATAAGACAATTGTGTGAAGTATGGTCGCTCTTTGAAGAGAAGGCTGGGCTTACCCCATACAGGGTGACAGTTTGAGCCTGAGAGTGTGCCCTCACACAGATGCTGGATCTCTCCTTGTGAGCATAGTTCCAAGTTACAGTTAACTCACCACATGAAGGAGAGTGTGTGAATAAAAGTCACAATTCTCTCCCAGAAAATTCACATCTGATTTAGAAGACAGCACACACACACACAGGTATGCACACTTTGGAAGCCAGATATGCCCTGGGGAAATTCTCTAATACATAATTCAAAAATAGACTCGAAATATAGATAAAGGCACAAGGTAAAAAAAAATTAGCAGAACCAATTAATTAGCTATTGACCAAATGTATTAGCTCTAATTGTTATTTTATTATTTTATGGAAATAGTTTTTAAATCCATATTACTCTCTTGCCTTCTCAAACAAAACCAAGAGCATGGGATTTAACTTTTCAACTCAGTTTCATTGTTCTGTGTGCCTGTTACTGTTTTGGACATAAACAGAATTACCTTCAAGGATGGTTGAAAGATGCAGTGATTTTACAGCTAATTACTTGGTCTCCAAGTTTTGTTATTATCCTATTTTAAATAATTTCTCGTCTTCCTGCTTCCTGTCATATCAGCTTTCATATAAAGCTATTTCACTGTGCTTGTGTTTTGTAGCATCTTACTCTGCCTTCTCCACTAGTCCCTCTTGTCATTGCCTGCCCTGTATTGCTTCCCACAGGGAGGCCAGACCTCCGACCTCACTAGAGTTACATAAAAACACTTAAGTCCCCAGTGAGGACCTCAGGCCTTCTGCTTTGAGTAACGTGCTTAAGCTTTAGGGCTTGAGTTTGGTGCTTCATTCTTTTCAGTTACTCATTTGATAAGAGAAATTTTAATTGTGATTGAAAAAAATTACATTTACCGTGTTGCTTTTAAGTGCACAGCTCAGTAGGGTAAGTATCTTCACACTGCTGTGTAACCAATCTCCAGAACTCTTCATCTTACAAAACTGATGTACTGTCTCTTAAATAGCAATGTTGACCTCTGATTCACTGCGGTGAGCGGACAGGGACCTTTGAGTCACAGAGGTGTTGCCATAACTCAGTCAAAGGAGACAGTCTAGAAGGTGGTTCAGAGGGATCCCTTCCCCTTCACCCTGTTCCTGTTTAATGTTCCACAGGGCTGAATATATGCTTTTGTTTAAAATGTAATACGAATGTAATTGTGGGATATATTATTTCAAGACGTTTGTGCATGTAGTATGTACTAGTCAAATCACAGTAATTTGCTTGTTGTCCCTATTTCTTTGTTTGGAGCTTTCCATATCCTCTTGCTCTTTACAAAGCCTGACGGAGGTTACTGTGGATGCCCGTGGCTCACTGTGATGCTGAACCAGATGCTTTCCCTCTCCCTGACAGTGTGCCGGTGCCCCTGACCTTGCCAGCCCCCAGCACTGGCCCCTGGTCTTGCAGGGTTCTGTAAGAATGTTCCTGAGCCGTGTTCTGTCCCTGCAGGCAAGCATCCCGAGAAGCTTGGCGGCTCAGCTGAGAGTTTGCTCCCAGGCTTTCAGTCTGCCCAAGGTGATGCTTTTGCTGCTGCACCGTTTTCTGCTGGAACCGGTTAGTATAGCAAGCACCTATCCAACAAGGCTCGCTTTGTGGACTGTTGCTGCCTTCACACTGTTTCCCCTCTCCCCCCACGCCACAGATGCCTCTAGCGTGCAGGTGGCACGACCCACGTCCTAGCAGTGCCTTATGTGGCACTGGGATCAGAAAGGGATTGAGTTACTGTGGGCTAAGGTGTTTCCTTGACTGCACACGTGGCTTGATCAAATACTTCTAAATTTGAGGAGTGACACTCCAATGGCTTAAGTTCTTTGGAATGATTTGATGAATTCTAAGAATCAGATGTTCTGTCCTGTATCTGACACTTTGCCAAGCTGTGGTTTTGTATGTGTGCATGTGGCATGCACTTACCAAGACAAGCCACACGGATATCGTCTTGGATTTTCCTAATGACATATAATCTCTTAAAGTGTCACAAATATTTTTGGAAAGTTATAACCTTCTTACCAAAATATATGTGGCCTCAATATTACACTTTTAGGTCTCAGTTGGAGACTCTGATATACAGCTTTATAGTCATATTTTTGTAAATTGTTTTTAAGATTTATTTGAAATGCAGAGCTAGGGGCCAGTGCAGTTCTGTAAGAGATTAAGCCTCAAACTGCAGCACTGACATCCCTTATGAACCATCCCTTATGGGAACCAGTTCAAGTCCCAGCTGTTTCGCTTCCAGTCCTGCTCTCTGCTTTTGGCCTGGGAAAGCAGTAGAAGGCAGCCCAAGTGCTTGGACCCCTGTGCCCATTTGGGAGACCCAGAAAAGCTGCAAACATCTGGCTGTGGATTGCCCCGGCTTTGGCTTTTGCAGCCATTTGGAAAGTGACCCAGTGGACGGAAGATGCTTCCCTCTCTATCTCTCCTTATGTCTGTAACTTTGCCTTTGAGGAGGAGGGAGGAAGGGAGAGAGAGAGAAAAATCTTCCATTTGCCAGCTGACTCCCCAAATGGCCGTGACGGCCAAGGTTGGGCCAGGCCAAAGCCAGGGATTTCATCTGGGCCTCCCATGTGAATGACAGGAGCTAAAGAACTTGGGCCATCTTCTACTGCTTTCCCATGACATTAACAGGGAGCTTGATCTGAAGTGGAGCAGCCAGGTCTCAAACAGGGTGCATTTTGGATAACAGGTGGCATAATATCAGCCTCAATAGGTATATTTTCCTGTAATATATCAGGCACATTTCCCTCAAATCATTGAAGAAGCTCCTAAAAAGCAAGTTTAAATATTCTGCATTAAATTCCTTTATTAGACAATAGCCTAATGTCTTTAACCAAATACCTATTTTCTGAATATGAACTTAATCTCATGTTTTTTTATTGTAAATGCTACAGTAATGAGTAGAAGGTTTTGAACATATTTTTTTTTAGAATCTCTCTCTTTTTTTAAATTGATTACATTGCATTATGTGACAGTTTTATAGGCACTGGGATTCCCCCCACCCTTCCCCAGACTGCCCCCCCATGGTGGATTCTTCCACCTTGTTGCATTACCAAAGTTCAAATTCAATTGAGATTCTTTCATGGCAAGCATTTGAACATATTTTTGAAGAAACCAAAATTTGATATGTACCTCCAAAGTTGATTTTTTTAATAATATGGATTAATTTGATTAATTTATACTTCTAGCCTTGCATGTTGTTTTCTGTCTGCTTTCTTTAGGCTTGTTTTTTTTTTAACTTATTAATACATTTCTCATTAGATAGCTGACTGTCATTCTTTTAGTGTGATATATAATGCTTTCTCACTCTTGTTTTTTGACATTTTACCATTGAAGTTTCAATTTCTTTTTAAACAGTGAGTTACTTGGGCTATGTTTTAATTGCATCATTGCTAACATGACCTGTGCATCTTTGCTATAAGAGAGAGATAAATCAGAATCTTCAGGAAGGGGTAGGAATTTGAGGATTTTCTTTCGGATTGTCCTGGCAGTCAGTAGCCTGTTCCCAGCTGCAGTGCCTGGTTTGATTTTTAGCTCCGGCTCCAACTCCTGACTCCAGCTTTCTGCTAATCCAGACCCTGGGAGACAGTGGTAATCGCTCAGCCAGTTAGGCCTTACTACCTGTAGGAGACTTGTATTGCATTTCCAGTTCCCCACTTCAGGGGTATTTGGGGAGTGAACCAGCAAGCTTTTTGACTAAGGATTTTAAAATCGCCTGTTCTCCTTCTCCCTCCAATTGTTCCATCTCACCTTTTGAGGATGGTTTGTTTTAATGGGAATAGGATGCTTATGTGTCAGTATGTGTGTTTCCCAGTAAGAAATATGTGAGTTTTTATGGAGCTTTAACTCTATCCCATATGCAGTTATGTGATGCTCTAATTTTTATTTTGAAGCTAAGAGAGAGTTATGTTTTTTAATATTAAATAACTAATATGTTTTATGCATTATTTTCATTTTAGCTTTATTTGGTGTTTCTAATTTTACATTTTTAAATATTCTGGTCAAGTTTTAAAATATTCCATGGGGGCATGGTGGATGAGGTCATGAGGGTTTTTTGAGGCTTGGTTTACTTCCCAATTGGCTGCAACAGCCAGGACTGGGCCAGGCCAAAGCCACAAGCTTTATCTGGGTCTCCCACATGTGTTCAGGGGCCCAAGCACTTGTTCCATCTTCTGCTACTTTCCCAGACACATCAGCAAGGAACTTGATCAGAAATAAAACAGCTCAGGCTTGAACCAGCACCCATATGGGATGTCGATGTTGCAAGCAACTGCTTTAACTTGCTGTACCACAGTGCCAGCCCGTTTATCTAGAATTTTATCTCTACATACAAGGCATTTCTCGTGTACTTTTTTTTCTCCAAAGTGATTTGTATATGTAGTTGTATAATTTGTATTTTCCTTTCACATCAGAGACTGAGGTACAGTGTTTTCACCCTTTCTTTCTCTCTCTTTAAAAAAACCCTGTTCGAAGCACACTTTAATAAGTTGTCAATTGAGAGCATGTTGGTGGTTTTGCAGGATAGATATAAGGGCGGGTGGAAATGTGAAGGGGTGGACTGAGGGAGGTCTGCCTGACGAAGCAGTGCTCTGTGGGACCATTCTGCTGCTTGTGTAGAAACCAAGGGCAAAGAATCCTTTCCCCAGGTTGGAGGAAGGGAAGCAAATCCTGCAGCTGGAATCGGAGGTCCCCAGAAGACACAGCTTAAGAGATTGGGAAGAAGAGTTTCAAGAAGTTAGGGATTACAGTGAAGAATATTGGGATGCAAGAGAAAGAGTCGAAGTCTGAGGGGCAGCTGGCCCCTGGAAAATGGAAAGTCAGGATCCTAGGAAATCAGGGCATCTGAAGGAGGGAGACAGAGTCATGGTCCTAGGATATATGGGTGAGCTTCCCCTTCCCGCTTCCTGGGCAGGCCTTGGAGGAGAGAGGTCAGGTACCCACAGTCGGTGAGTCTGATACACCTATCATCCATCGGGAATACTGAGGGTTACTGACCACTGTGTGCGTGTGATTGTGGAGGTTCATAGAAGGCTATCTGTAAATAGCCTTGCAGCACCTTTTGGGCCCTGCACCCTTCCTTCTGCTGGACTGTCCAAGTGAGCCCATTAGACTGCCTGCCAGTGGGAATCAGCTGCACCTCCCTCTTGCCTCCTGCCGCATCTGCATGTCAACCCTGTATGTCCCTGAAACCCACTGCCTCCTGTGCATGTGGTGGAGCTGAGCCAAGGGGTTCCTGCATGCTCAAGGATGGGTAGGTGTCATATATGCTTCTCTTACTGTGCTTGGGTACCCATGCCTGGTTCCTGTACTCCAGGGCCTCCATGGTAGAGGCAGACATTGAATGTCTGTGACACCTGGAGCATGAAAGGGAACCTGTTCTGGGGAGTGGGAGGGTTTTCTGGCCCAGCCGGTCACCCCACCTTCACTTTGCACATTGTTCTGCCTCTCAAACTGCATCTTGCTGGCCCCAAGGAGGTGGAGTTGGGAACAGCAAGAAGTGGTTGCCACAAATGTGGGCATAGTCTGTCCATGGAATGCATGATACCGTGAGATGGGGTTGCAGGGAACTGAAACACTCAGCAGGAAGGAGCTGGGGAGAAAGAACTCAAAACACTCAGGTGGCCAGGCAATCTGTGACATTGGGGGCATGGTGGGTGAGGGATAGGGCAGGATAAGGAATTTGCCATCTCTTCTGATCTGCCCAGTAGACCTCAGAGGAGCATTCTAAAAGCAGAGCTGGAGAGAGACAGAAAGACCCAGATAGTCAGAGGCAGGGAAGAAAGAGATCAGAGCCAAATGCCTATAGAGATGCTACCAATTATACACACATGTGCCTGGCACTTATACTTTGCAAGCCCATTTCATAGATGGAATGCAGAAGCTCAGGGAGGTGAAGAAAATGTTTCACATCTGAAGACCAAGGGCAAGAGGGTTCATAGAGGGGTTCTGGACCTCCAAACTCAGCCCTGTATCAGAGATCAACAAGGAGACCTTGATAAAGAGATAGGGCAGGAGACAGACATATGAGTGAGTTGCTCCTACCTCCATAACTGTGTGGGTGACATAGACATTACATGAAAGGCAACAATTGTACATCCTCCCAACACAAGTGAGTCCATGTCAAAACTGGTGAAAATGGAGTGGTGGAGATAAGGCTGTCACACCGATGGCCATGATGGCATGCTGGAGCGTCAGACTCTACATACAGCGATTTGTTGTGAGAGTCTATGGTTGTTTCAACTCAGACACTTCATAGCAAGTGAGATGAGACTTTTGACCAAGCTGTGTGTTAATATTCAGTGTAAAGACAATCCAAGCGAGAGCCCAGAGACCTTGTTCTTACTGTAGCTCTGCTGATGGGTCTCTGGCTGGCCTCTTAATGGTTTAACTTCTCTTAACTTCTGGTTAGTCTCATGGTTTTCTGGAAATTAAAAAAAAAAAAGGTAAAAAATTCTAAGATCTCTTCAACTTCTCATATTCTAAGAGGTGCATAGAGTGCTATAAGTCTATAATGTGCCATATATAGAATGAATGCTATAGTATGCTAGATATAGTCCAGAGCTAGATGTAGATGTCTCCTTGCCCTAAGCAGGAAGTGTATTTCTACCTCTCCCTGTGACTGCCCAGCACTGTGTCAGACATTATGGTAATACAGCAGCCCGTAGACCATAAAGGACGCTGGGCACTTAAACTTTATACGCATGCTGTATTATGTAATGGGAATGGAAGATGTACCAGAGTGTGTGATGTGGGCAGTAATTCCTATAGGCATCCTGGAAGAGATTTGTGTATGCTAAAGTATCCTGGGAAAATGTAAGACATGTGCACATCCTGAGGTTATCATCGGTTGCATTTCATGGTGTGTTACAAGGACCAGATCGCTGTCTTATAGCATATACTTGCTGTTAAAGTAGATTATATCCACATACAGCCCTTTATTCTGCCTTGAGATTTCCTTGGTAATTTTAGCTGGTTGGTTAACAGACAGCAAGTTTATCTACATTTACTTGATGTTTTCTGCTTTTCTCTTTTCTCTCTTGACCCCACTTTCCTCTCCAAGCAGCTCCAGCTGAGAAAAGGAAGGGTGGGCAGACTGTGGATTCTGGCCTCCCACTTCTCAGTGTTTCTGATCCTTTCATTCCTCTTCAAGTACCTGATGCACCAGGTAGGTTAAGCAGAGGTTAAGCAGCTAAATTCTGATGTCCTGGGGCCTCTGTTTAAAATAGTGCATGAGAATGGTCTAGCCCCAATAATAATAGGGTGCTCTTGTATCTTTTTACTGTGTTTCAGTAAGAGGGACAAACTGATCCTACTACCTGCCTTTAACAAAGATAATAAAATCATTCAGGCCATAACAGATTGCATTGTATGTCATATCAGTGCTCAGTTTTTAAGCTTTGGTGTCATTAATGGTAATATGAGGGGTCTTTAGGCTGGTATGGTTAGAACCTGGCAGTATGTGGTGAAATGAACAACAAATGAATAATGGTTCTTGTGTGATGATGGGGTGTGAGTGCCTTCTTGTCCAGTGTCAGGCTTTCTGTAACATGCTTTTATTTTGTAACATAACCAAACATAACAGAAATTGATAGTGAAGGTGAGTCAGAAGACTGCATTTCAGGCTCCGCCACTACCTGAAGACTCTTGTAAGTGACTCAAGTTGCACAGCAGGAATTAGAGGATCTCTTTCTGTCCACAGTCTAAAAAGTAAAACATGGTATGTTCTGATGGACACAGCTTTTAAAACAATCATAAATGCTTTCTGTGTAGAGCTCATGAATGCCTGAGATTCCTTGTTCTGTTCTGCCCATGTATTTATTTTGGAGGCAGTGATATCCAGGTAGGTTTTCTCTTCCCCATCAGTTTCTTTGAAAAAGAAAATATATCCAAGACCCTAGAAGCAGCAGGTGGTCATTTTGCTCTGATAATCTATCCTTTTCCCCCATTCTTATCCCTGACATTTCTTAACCTTGAATTCACAGGATCAGCTCAGTTTTCCTTCTCTCCCTGCAGTTACCTAAAATCAGTGAGAAATCATTGAATACAGGTGGTTAAAGCAAAAAAAAAAAAAAAAGGAAGCAAATAGAAGCCCTTTTCTTTTGTGCACCCTTCAGGTATACCTGGTGATACCCAGACCAGCCAGTTTTGAGCAGATTGTAAAAGAATGAGCTGTAAACTCAAGCTAGGATCTCCTGACTTGCTTCCCTCAGTTACAGTAATCATGGAATCCAACAAGACTGGAACCCTCTAGGTTCTTGCTCTGTGACTGCCCAGAGAGCCATGGGCTGCACAAGCTGAAAGGGTGGTGCCTTGTACAGACAGAGGATGAGGACCCACAAACAGATAGCTCTCCTCGGCAGGTAACAGAGGAGCCCTCAACATGTGGGTGCAGGAGCGAGGCGACATGCACCAGACAACACTGGAGATTGGCTCTAGGCTGTAGAGATGAATCTGGGGGCATCAGCTTATTGGCTGCCATCTACCCTTCTTATTGTCATCATCCCTGTTGCATGATGCGCCATGCATTCTGGTGAATTCCTGCTAACATGTCACTGCAATAGCCTGTAATACCAATCAAGCCATGGCCTCTCTTGAGTTTTAAAGGAAAGTCTGTTAAAGTGTAATTTAATTTTTGTTTTATTTACTGATGTAAGAGGCAGAGAGAGAAGTAGAAAGAGAGGCAAACTGCTCCCCACTGCTGGCTTCCTTCAGCAGATGCCTGAAACTGCAGCAGGGGTTTCACTGAGGAGCCAGAGATGCAGTCCAGGACTCCCACGGGGGAGCTGGGGTCCAGTGATTGAGCCATCACCACTGCCTTTCGAGGGTCTGCATTAGCAGGAAGCTGGAGTCAGAGCTGGTGCTAGACACTGAACCCAGGCACTCCAGCATGGATCGTGGATTTCCTGATCAGCATCTTCACATTTTTAGAGAATTCCCGGAGAGTCTGACTTGTTTTCTTGTCTGTCAGACCAGATTCCAACAGTGACACTGTAAGACAAGGAGTTCCATCATGCTCAAAGAATTTCACTGTCTCTGAGCATGAAATCCAGACATTTTTCTGTGACCCGCCAGGCCCCAGGTGACCTCAGCTCATAGCATCTTGCCTTTAGCCTTATCTTTCCTTGGCAGGCTAAGATTATTCCCTCCTCAGGGCATTTACGCTTGCTGGGACTCAACCTGAGAAGCTTCTGCTGCAGCTTTGCTCCTGCGTGCCATTTAACATGTGGGTCTTAGTTCACATGCCACCTTCCCAGAGGGGCCCAGTGTGATCCCACAGGGACTTAGTCATATACCTAGCTTTTTTCTTCATGTCATTTATCAGGATATTGTCTGGTTTTGTTTATTCATTCTCTGGCATTCCTCACCAGAATCTCATTGTTTTCAGAGAGGGTACTTTGGTCTGGGTCACTCATCACTGTAACACCAAATGCCAAGTGCACTGGCTGGCATGGTCTGCATTTAGTGACTATTTGCAAATCAAATGGATGGTGAAATAAAATCTGAGACTATCAATTGCTAACCACAAAGCCTTCCATTAGTGTCTCCACCAACCCCTGGCCAGACCTACTACCCCACCCAGGCTGGTCAGAGAGCTGCCAAGCCCAGGCTTACAGAGGAGTAGGCAAGCTCAGCAGATCCTTCCACTCCACCCTGTGGTTGCTGCCCGCATTGGGCTGGCACAGCCCCCTTGTCAGAGCCCTGCATCCTTCCTTAGCACCTTGAGGAAGGGAAGGGTGAGGGGCCGATGTCTCTGGGGTCTGAGCAGGCTGCACATTTGTCACCTGTAGCCCAGGCGCACAGCAGTTGGGCTTTGGAGCTTCTTTTGGATACTTGCTCACTGTCTACACTCAGCTGCTGATAGCATATGGAATCTTGGTCCCCTGCAGGCCATGTCTTTCAGTGACAGCATTTTTACTGTGGACTGTGAAAATGTTGTCATGTATAGTTTCCTTTAACCTTACTGACACAGGCTGGAAATGTTAAATAACATCCCATCTTGTGGAAGAGTGATGCTGTCCTGCTTGTGCCAGGATACGTCCTCTGAGCAGTGGATGCTTCTGTTGTCTTTGGAACAGTTCCTGGATCAATAAAGTTAAATTTAAGGTTTGGGGAGATACGAAAATAGAACTTTTCAGACCCATATCTTTGCTACTTAGTAGTTCAATGATTTTGTTGAATCATTAAACTCTGTTCTCTTTGGCTATTTTAAACCCAAATGGGGTAGTCAGGAGGCTTGGTAAATTATATTCTTCAAATTTTTAGGTTAAATTATAATAAGGATGGAAATACTATTTCAGCTTTGGGTCTGGGTCCTTATCCACAGTCCCAGTGATTATAGTGTGATGTTTTTCTCTTCTCAAAACTATTAAACTTGCTCCTGTAACCTTAAACTTGTATGTAACTGAGAACTGTTAAAATAGATTTCCTGGATGCAGTGACAATCACATTGTCGATAAAGAGGCCTGGTAAAATTGCAGGCTTGTTTGTTTTAACCAGAGCTTTTGTTTTCCAAAACACAAATTTTGTTAGAAAGTTTGAGTTTTAGAAAGCAAAGAAATGTACCTTTGTTTCCTCACCAGTTCTGAATTAAAGCCTAACTTTTGGGTCTCAGCTTTCGCATGCTGCCTATGCATTTCCTTTGCCTTCAGTTTGTGTTGGAGACCAGACCAGCTGGCAAGAGTACCAAAGTGTTTAAGTGTGGTGGAAGGATGTAGAAATTTCCTCTCAAAATTGAGGAAAAGATTTGTGATCAGTTATTTGTTAAGCTGTGGAAAATATATGGAATAAAATCGACTGTATGAGGGCCCAGCACAATGGCTCAATGGCTAAATCCTCACCTTGAAAGCACCTGAATTCCCCTACAGGCACTGGTTCGTGTCCCAATTTCTTTTCCTATCCAGCTCCCTGGCTGCGGCCTAGAAAAACAGTAGAGGATGGCCCAATGCCTCGAGACCTTGTATCCAAGTGAGAGAGGAGGCTCCTGGCTTCAAATCAGCTTAGTTCCAGCCATTGTGGCCATTTGGGGAGTGAATCAGTGGATGGAAGATCTTTCCCTCTTTCTCTCCTTCTCTTCATAAATCTAATAGATAAACATTTTTTTAAAAAAAAAAAAGTTAACCGTTTTAATCATATGCACAGGTACACTTCAGTAACATTAAATACATTCATATTGCTTTGAAACTGTTATCTCCTTCTGCACAACTTTTCTCATCTTGCAAAGCTATGCATCTGTCTAACAGTAACTCTGTGTCTTCCTCCCTCTGCCACAGCAACTGCCCTTCTGCTTTTAAAATTATTTACTTGCTTGCTTGCTTATTTGAAAGGCAGAGGTAGAGAACAAGTGAGTAATCCTCGTTTGACTCCCCAAATTCCTCCAGCAGTGAGGGCCAGGTCAGGCCAAAGCCAGGAGTCAGGAACCCCATCCAGGTCTCCCAGTGAGTGACAGGGGCATAAGTGCTTGGGCCATCATCCACTGCCTCCCAGGCACATCAGTAGGAAGTTGGTTAGGAAACACAGAGCAGCCAGTACATGAACTGGCACTCTGATATGAGATATGGGTATCCCAAGAAGCTGCTTAGCCTGTTGCACCACAACTCTTACTATCACTGTTTGATTTTCCATCCCTGGGTTTTACTAATGTGGGCACCTCATAGAAGTAGAATCTTGCAGTACAAAGGAACTTCAGAAACTCTAAGGAAACATGGAATGAAAAGAAAAGTTTTATTTGGGTACAATAATTTTGAAATCCAACACTAGGTTTTTTTGTTGTAATATCTACTTTCCACATAACTTTTTAAAGATTCCTTGTGTTTGCCCTTTCACAACTGATTTAGCATAATGTCTTTAAAACTTCTTATATGTTAAAGCATATGTCAGGATTTCTTTTCTACAATTTGATCTCATTCAGTTATATGTATATATCAATTTTTTAAGCCAGAGTATCTTTTAAAATGTAACTATTGATTTGTGTTTATTGGAAAGACAGATCAGATTTACAGAGAGAAGCAAAAGTAGAAGAAAGATCTTCCATCCGCTAGTTCACCCCCCAGATAGCCTCAATGGCCAGAGCTGAGCAGATCTGAAGCCAGGAGTCAGTAACCTCCTCTGGCTCTCCCACATGGGTGCAGGGTCCCAAGGACTTGGGCCATCCTCTATTCTTTTCCC